TCCAGTCAAGGAAGAGAAATGATACCATGTGACCAATCACATAGTGTGACTCCTGAATATTCCTGAATAGCAAGTAGCCATAACTCACAGCAGACCCTTTACAAGTATTCCATAGGCTGAAACTCATTCACATTGAACAATGAGTAAATTAATGATCTGGAGGATGGTGTGGACTGCACTCTCAGCAAGTTTGCAGATGACACTAAACTGGGAGGAGTGGTAGATACGCTGGAGGGTAGGGATAGGATACAGAGGAACCTAGACAAATTAGAGGATTGGGCCAAAAGAAACCTGATGAGGTTCAACAAGGACAAGTGCAGAGTCCTGCACTTAGGACGGAAGAATCCCATTCACTCTTACAGACTAGGGACCGAATGGCTAGGAAGCAGTTCTACAGAAAAGGACCTAGGGGTTACAGTGGACGAGAAGCTGGATATGAGTCAACAGTGTGCCCTTGTTGCCAAGAAGGCTAACGGCATTTTGGGCTGTATAAGTAGGGGCATTGCCAGCAGATCGAGGAACGTGATCATTCCCCTCTATTCGACATTGGTGAGGCCTCATCTGGAGTACTGTGTCCAGTTTTGGGGCCCACACTATAAGAAGGATGTGGAAAAATTGGAAAGAGTCCAGCAGAGGGCAACAAAAATGATTAGGGGGCTGGAGCACATGACTTATGAGGAAAGGCTGAGGGAACTGGGATTGTTTAGTCTGCAGAAGAGAAGAATGAGGGGGGATTTGATAGCTGCTTTCAACTACCTGAAAGGGGGTTCCAAAGAGGATGGATCTAGACTGTTCTCAGTGGTACCTGATGACGGAACAAGGAGTAATGGTCTCAAGTTGAAGTGGAGGAGGTTTAGGTTGGATACTAGGAAAAACTTTTTCACTAGGAGGGTGGTGAAGCACTGGATTGGGTTACCTAGGGAGGTGGTGGAATCTCCTTCCTTAGAAGTTTTCAAGGTCAGGCTTGACAAAGCCCTGATTGGGATGATTTAGTTGGGAATTGGTCCTGCTTTGAGCAGGGGGTTGGACTAGATGACCTCCTGAGGTCCCTTCCAACCCTGATATTCTATGATTCTATGAACATACACATTCATAGGAATTGCAGCCTGTTCATGGATAATTTGTGAACAGAAAAGGGACTCCATTCAATTAATGGTTTTCAATGAACTGCTCCCCCAATTCTTACTGTCATAATAATTTTACCTAGAGTTGGGTTTAAAAAAAATTGTGTGTTTAATGTTTTATCAAAATGTTTCATTTATTTTCAGTTTTTCCAAATTAAAACATTTTAATATTTCATTGTTTGGTCAGTTGAGTCGAATGATGGGATTTGGCGGGGAGGGGGGGTTGAATCTAAAAAAAACAACAACACTTTTTTGTGGAAAAACTCTGGTGTTGGGAGTAAAGGGTACTTGTCTAAGAAAAATGTGTTTTGTTTTGTTTTGAACAGCTCTGTCTTCAATCAGCATGGTAATAATGACCCTATAGACATAATCGCTTGGTGGTGGTTTTTCTTTAATCTTTGAAATCAAGGCTATAAATATTCATATTGGCAATTTGTTACAAACCAGATAATTTTTTTTTAAATGCATCCACTTAAATGTTGATGCCTTGAGGCCGCTCAGCAATAGTGAAAATTTCAAAGCCCTGTATCAGAAGCATAGTAGGAATTTTCACTTATAAATCTCTTGAACTGTGTTTAAAGTATAGCCAGTCACAGCTAGAGTACTAGTGAATATTCATGAGTTAGCTTGCAGCAAAGAATAGGTGCCAAGGGCCAGCTCAGTGCACAAACATAAAGCAATTTTATTTAAGAGTTTTTAGTTTATAAGCTCCTACGGTGCAAAGGAGATCTTCAGTTTAGCTCATTTGCTTTCTTATACCCAGAGTAACTAAACTTGCATTGTTTTTCAATTGTATGTATTACTGGAGATCAGGACTCTGCATCTACAAGACTTTGTGCAATGAAGCCTCCATATGTAAAAGGGAAATAATACAGCACTTGCATGCCATTTATTTACTCCAGTTTGCATCTTTTGATTCTCAAAATAACCACATCCACATCACTATTTGCACTCTTGTTGGCAGCCTTAGTGGAGAGGCCAAGAAACGGAGATTGCCCTTCAAGCTTTAGGAGGCCTTTTTAATAACTGGGGCACTGCAGTTCGCACATTCTCCGTGTAAGGACCAGCAAATGCTTACGCACACATCATAGTCTTATTCAGAGCATCTAGCATCTTTTTGGAGAGAGAACTGTACATAATTATCTTTCAAATCACTATGAATTCACTTGCATAAATACTTCACATATCTGCTAAGACTCTAACTTTTAATGAGCTCCAAACTTCACCAAATTCAAACAAATGTGCATAAGTACTCTGCATATAGTGTATAATTAAATAACAATTTTACAGTAGTCTAGGGAGAAATTTGCAAAATTGTATAAAAACTTTCAAAAAACAAATTTCTATTTCTACATAAACTTTGGAAGTGGTGAACAGAAATGAATTTGGAATCATCTGATTTACTGATCAGTTGAGTTCTGAAAAACATGACTTATCTGTATATTTATTACTTTACTGCATTGTCAGACACAAATCAACTGGATGAGCCTGAGTCATCAAACGTGACCTAAAATAAGTTTGCTTTAGTGATCTAACTGGTCAATAACCATTTAGCACTTAAAAATAAGTACCCGCCTACCAACAGGCTCAGATAGGTCATATGCTGAATTGATCTAAAATAACTTCATATGATTCTAGAGATGTTAATTCACATTTGCGGTGGAGGTATTGATTTTGATTGGAATCATAGTTTGGGGGTTTCTGGATTCAGGCCCATTATGACAAATCAATGTTAATTTACTTAGAATCCACACTTGATATTGAGTAGGCATAATATTAAAATGAAATTATAGGAAAATGAGACTTGATTTAAGGGTGACATTGAAGTGGCTTTAGGCATAACTTCAGCCAGGGACCAACTAATACCTAAAGCAGATACCACTATGTTGGGGCGGGGTGAGAGATGCTAACTCTGAATAAAATACAAAAAGCATTCTGTGCAGGGAAAATAAACTGAATTCTGGATGTGCTCTTGTCACCACTGAAATTTGAACAAACGTCCATCTTTCAAATGTACATGGGATTACAAACAAATAGGAACCCCAAACTGTTTGTCCAAAGATGGATTTGAGAAAATAATCAGCGAGCAAGAGATTGACAATGACACTCATCATCTCTTTGAAGAGGACAGCTGTGTAAATACCCTTCTGGGAGATAGGGTGACCAGACAGCAAATGTGAAAAATTGGGACGGGGGTGGGAGGTAATAGGAGCCTATATAAGAAAAAGACCCAAACATCGGGACTGTCCCTATAAAATCAGGACATCTGGTCACCTAGAGAGAACTGTCATGACAAGTCACCCTTAATCACATGTAAAATCACTGGCAAATATAACTGGGCCAACTGGAAGTGAAACCTGAGACCAGAGGCTGGGTCTCTGACACTAGCAAGGTAAAGTAACCAGATAGAAACAGCTTGGTGGAGAGGCTGAGTTCTTTAGAGATGTAAACATGTTGCTACTTCAGTCAATTTAGTTAAAAGTGGACCTCTCTTGGCTACACTGGCGCTGTACAGCGCTGCAACTTGCTGTACTCGGGTGTGAAAACGCCCCCTCCCCCCCCAGCGCAGCGAGTGTAGCACTGTAAAGCGCCAGTGTAATCAGCGTCTGCAGTGCTGCACGCTCGCTCACAGCGCTGCAAGCTACTCCCCTCGGAGAGGTGGAGTACATACAGTGCTGCGAGAGAGCTCTCGCAGTGCTGGCGGCGCGACTACACTCGCACTTCACAGCGCTGCCACGGCAGCGCTGTGAATTTCCAAGTGTAGCCAAGGCCTAGATCAATTTGATAATTTTAAAGCTAGAGAAGTATGCACACCTTACTCTCTTCTTGTACTGTGATTTCTCCTCTCATACATTTTGTTTTCACTGAGATCACTTTTGTGTGATGTTTTGAGGCAAATTCCCTGTTGGCTGCATTCTGTAAGGGAAATAACCTCTCTTATGTTGTTATTGATCACAGTAAGAGTATCTACATAATAACTCATTCATAGAAGGTTTTCATGAAGCCATGTTATAATCCCTGAGCCCTGTCTACACAAGTGGCTTAGTGCTGTTGTAACTGCACAATTGATCAAAAATGGGTATTTCTCTTCCTCTACAGTGTGGAGATACATGTTACAGAGTAACAGGAATTGCATTTTTTTTGTAAGCGTTGTTAGACGGTTGCTGAGTAAACGCCATTGCATCCATATTTCCTCCAGTTCCTTGAATTTACTTCTGTATCTAAACAGCTACATTTACATTTGTCTAGTGATCTAAGGGGAGATGGGTATTTGTTTGTTTGAAACACAAAATAGTTTTCTCACAGTTAATTTACTTTATTAATTTTTTTTCTAAATCTTTATACATTGCACCTCATGTCCAGCACTGAAAGCTTACAGGGTTTGATTTCTTTTTAAGCTTTAAATAAGAAAACAAAGTAAAACCATCAGCCCCACACAACTCATAGGACTGCACATCTGCTTATCAGCTGCATGAATATCCTGCTGTGCCACCAGTTGCCATGATGTCTGTTTCTATTTAACCCAAAATGGTTGAATCACATCTGATCCTTTCTGCTTATTACACTGAGTCTCATTGCTGCACTGAAAGGCAGACTGCAAAATCTTGATCTACTGTTTATAGGCCGGACACTGAGCATAGTGGCGGTATTCAGTGACAATACTTTGTAGGCCTCGTTTCTTGTTCACTTTTCCTGAGATCTGCGTCATTACAGTACAGTGAGTTTGTTAATACAGATACTTCAAATTAAGTTACTGAAATTACCAAAAACTCAATTAAAAAAACCAAACAGGAAGAGATTTCTGTGATAAAAGCCCTTTCAGTAATTGGCATATATCCAGCACAGTTTGCCTCCTTTCATAGCTGATAGCCCACATCCTAGATTCAGCTCTCTAACCTAAGTGAGTGCCCTTCAATTTAGCTCATGTATGAGGTACATCATTCATTTTATCCCCACAATTCCTCCCATCCCACACCAACCTGGTATTTAGCTGTGTTTGCTGCTATGAATTGAGGTTAGAAATGCTGAATCATTAAATGTGTTAAAGTAATCCCACATCAACCCAAGCTCCTTCCTCCATTAAATTTGTTGTTTCCCCGTTTGAAAATTTTGTCACTAACGTTAATGACTAGTGGTCTCCTGTTTATGCCTTGATGGGTTGCAAGCTTCAGCCAAAGGTGTTTCCTTAGGAAGTTTATTTACTGTTGGTTGGCCAGTGTGTACTCTCTTCATAAGGAGGCACTGGATCCTGAGAAAACTCAATGTGAGTCTCTCCCATAGGAGGTTTCATAGTGGCCTCCTCATATGATGGAGGCAAGCTTACAGTGAGGAAGGTGGCTTCAGGGAGCAGAGTGGAGTAGTGGAAATTCTGCTCACTGTTCCAGGGCAGCACTGAAAGGAAATCGGACACATCACGCTCAGGTAGGTGCTCTGGGAGATCAATACTGAAGATCTGCCCCTGGGGGCTGGGTCGACGGCAGCGGCGGTATAGGAAGAGCAGCAGGAATGCCAGGAAGAGCAGCATGGTGGCAGGCAGGATGATGCATAGAAATGGTTCTACGTCGTCTTTGGTTGAGCTGATCTGATGTCTGCTCTGTAATTAAAACAAACAAGAAACTTCTTTAACTTGAAATCTCTTCTTTATTTTTTGCTCCCTTTTTACTTTAACTGTTGGATACATATACCCTCTCCTTCATTCACCAAATGCCTCTGCTTCTATTTATGGGTGATCTCCTATCTTCCATATTCACTGTTCTCAAACTATAGTCTATAGGTCTGCAGAGCTTTCCCTGGTAGTCCACAAAATGAAACACTTTGAGAACCAAGGACTGCAAGGAATCATTGACGTATTGGTGGGAGGAAGGGATTAGAGGAAGAGCCCTCTCTGAAGTGGTCCACAGAAGGAAAAAGGTCAGACAGCCACTGCATGAAGCCCATACGTTCAGTTTGAGCTATAACCTATCTTTAGGCCTGGAAGAATTATATTTTTATTGGTAAATGCCGAGTTCACCATACACACAGAAACTGATGAAAAAACATTTCCACTGATGATCAAAGCTTACAGACAGGCAAAGTAAGAAAAATGCTGCTTGAGAACTTATTAGAGTTTGATTTAAGGATATTTACTTTGTATATTTTGACATGATGTCGACAATTTGTGTGTTAACGGTTATAAAGCTTTAACTTTTTGAATCTCAGAATCTACTGTCATTAAATAATTGTCACTCGTCTATTGTCTGACCCTCACATAATTTCCCACAACTGCATAAAAATTTAAATATTTAAATTGAGAAAAATAAAATGCTTAAAACCAGTAATTTTACTCATGCACAAAAAATTCAATTGATTAAAGATTGGGGGGGAGGGGAATGCTTAAAAACAAACTATCTGTTGAAATAAATAAATATATATAAAAATCAAATTCTGCCAAGCCGACACATCTCTTAGAAAGACATTCAATCATAATTTTAAGGCTTCAAGCGATGGAGAATTCACCAAAGTCACAGGTAGATTATTCCAATGGTTAGTTACCCTCATTGCTAAAAAATCTGTGCCTTATTTCTAGTCTGAATTTGTCTAGCTTCAGCTTCCAATCATTGGCTTTTGTAGTACCTTTTTCTGCTAGATTAAAGGCCTATCTGCTATCAGAAATCTCTTCCCCAGGTGAGTACTTCTAGACTGTGATCAAGTCACCTCTTAACTTCTCTTCGATAAACTAAATAGACTGAGCTCCTTCAGACTCATTATAAAGCAGATTTTCCAGACCTCAGATCATTCATGTAGCTCTTCTGAACCCTTTCCAATATTTCAACGTCCTTTTTGAGGTCTGGACACAGTGCTTCAGTAATGGTCTCGGTAATTCCATATACAGAGGTAAAATCACCTCCCTATTTCTACTTGGCATTCCCCTGCCTATATATCCAAGAATTGTGTTTGCCCTTTTAGCCACAGCATTGCACTGGGACCTCATGTTCAACTGGCTATGTACCATGACCCCTCCACCTATATTATTCAGTTACAAATATGTGATCATCGAGAAGTAACAAGTCAGAAGAAAGTAAAATTAAATTTTGGCTCCCTCCAGCAAAATGGAGCATGTAGAACAGTGGTTGTCAACCGGGGGTCCAGCGGGGGCCGCAAGCAGATTTCAGGGGGGCTGCCGAGCAGGGCCGGCATTAGACTTGCTGGGGCCCAGGGCAGAAAGCTGAAGCCCTACCTCAAGGGGCTGAAGCTAGGGTTGCCAGGTATCCAGTTTTCAACCAGAACGCCCTGTCGAAAAGGGACCTTGGCGGTTCCGGTCGGCACCACCAACCGGGTCGTTAAAAGTCTGGTCGGTGGTGCAGCAGGGTTCCGGGACCAAGGCAGGCTCCCTAGCTCCGCGTGGCTCCCGGAAGTGGCTACCAGGTCCTTGCGGCCCCTAGGCACACGGGCAACCAGGGAGGCTCTGCTTGCTGCCCCCGCCCCTAGTGCCAGCTCTGCAGTTCCCATTGGCCAGGAACCGTGACCAATGGGAGCTCTGGGGACAGCACCCGCTTCCTAGGAGCCATGGTGAGTGCTGCCGGGACCCTGTACCTATGTTCCCTGTAAGCTGCACAGCTAGCTCTCAAGGGCCACACAGGCAGGGAGGGGAGGTGCCCCTCCTCTGGCCCAGGCCCACCAGAGCTGCTGTGGAGAGGCACCTCTCGCCCAGCCCCAAGCTGCTGTGGCGAGAGAGGGATGGGGGAGTTTTCTCTCTCTCTCTCTCTCTCTCTCTCTCTCTCCCCCCAGCCCCAGGGCAGCCTGTACCCCAAACCCCTCATTTCCGTCCCCACCCCAGAGCCCGCGCCCCAGCCCTGTGCCCCATCCCACACCCCGAACCCCTCGGCCCCACCACATGAATTTTATGTGCACCAATATGAAGGTGATATGTCACACATCACCTCCATATTGGTGCACATAACAAAATTCATTCCGCACATGGACGTAAAAAATTAGAGGGAACACTGCCCTGCACCCAGGGCCGGCTCCAGGCACCAGTAAAGGAAGCAGGTGCTTGGGGCGGCCAAAGGAAAGGGGCGGCACCTCCGGGTCTTCGGCGGTGGGTCCCTCAGTCCCTTTTGGAGCGAAGGACCCGCCACCGAATTGCCGCTGAAGAATGAAGCAGCGCGGCTGAGCTGCTGCCAAAGTGCCACAGATTGGGGCCTTCCCCCCCCCCCCCTCGCTTTGCTGCTTGGGGCGGCAAAAAGCTGGAGCTGGCCTTGCCTGCACCCCGACCCCCTGCCCCAGCTTGGAGTCCCCTCCCCCACCCCAAACCCTTCATCCCTCATCCCTGGCTGCACCCCCTACTCCAGCCCGGAGCACCCTCCTGCACCCCAGAGCCCTCACCCCCAGATGGGCCCGCACCCATCTCCCACACTCCGAACCCCTTGGCCCCAGCCCAGAGCCCCCTCCTGCACCCAAATCCCTCAGCCCCAGCTGGAGTCCTCAACCCCCTGAACCCCTGCCCCAGCCTGGAGGCTTCTCCCGCACCCTGAGTCCCTCATTTTTGGCCCCACCCAGAGCCCGCACCCCCCCATCCCAGAACCCAGACCTCCCCCACATCCCTGTCCCAGTCCAGAGGCCTCTCCCGCACCTCAAACCCCTCCTCCTTGGCCCCACCCTAGAGCCCGACCTCTCCAGCCAGAACACATCTCTGCATTTGCTTTGCATAGATACAAATGACTCCCCAAGGGAAATATGTTGTGAAGAATCAGGTTCTAGGTAACTAATGCATTATTTGGATATTTTTATCAAAAGTATTTTTTTATAAAGTGCATTATTAAGGCCAGCGCTGCAGTCCTCACTTGAGGCAAAATTCACATTACCTCTGTGTCTGGGATAGAGAAGATATGCCACCTGCCAAACACTTTATATTATCTTTGTAAACACCAGAGAGGTTGATCCAAGAAACATTTAGAGTTAGTAAATTTCTTATAGGCATACCTGAATACTAAAAATCTGTCTCATGGAAAAGAGTATTATAGACTTTCTGTATTTTCCCCCCCCTTTAAATTATTTATTATTATTACTAAAGAAAGCTGCATGGTATAAAGACTGCGCTTCTTAAAGGGACAGACAAGTATTTAATGTAGATCTATTTGAAAAAGTTTTGAATGGAAATATTTTCATGCAATTAAACAAAAATCACCTTTTTAAAAATCTACTTTTTCCTCCGAAGTGCTGAGAAGCAAAATAGCAGAAATGTACAAGTACATGGGTACCACAAAGTGAAACTGTCTAAAAACAAATAACATTAAGTTTCAGTGTCTAGATCAAGTGACATGGAAAAAGCAAACATGCACTGAGAAACTCCTTAAAATGGCATTTTCTGGACTCATTTGCTCCTGCTGCTTGCCCTTTATTTCATAGAGTCTAAGGCCTGAACGCTCTGATCATCTAGCCTGACCTCCCGTATAATACACAAGACTTCCCAAACTAGAGCATATCTCTTAGGAAAACAGCCAATCTTGATTTTTTTTTTTTAGAACTGCCAGTGAGGAAGGATCCACCATCACCCTTGGTAAATTGTTCTAATGATGCCGATAGCCTCTGTGTGTGATGACATAGTTTGTTGCGATATTATGATATCATAAACAAAGGATTATGACTTCGAGTGAGGAAGAAGCAACAGTAGCAGATGAACTTCTCTTCTTTTCATGAGAAATGGCCTTTGTAATAAAGGAGGGGAGAAGGAGAAACTAAGAAAATTGTGACACACACACTTAAAAAATTAGAAGCTTCCATTGGCATCCACTGGTTTATAGCACTTTAAACATATTTAAAATGCTCAAGTAATTTCATGTAACTTCCTGTGAAATTTATTCTCTCGCTCTTAATTTATATCCTACTAGGAACTGAAAGAAAGGGTCAATTTTCAAACAACTGAGCACTGGGAAGGAACATAAGGAGTAAAGCCTTTCATTACAAGTCAGCCTGTACTTGTTTTAACATGCTGGGTATGTACAACTGCCAGCATGCAGGTTACATGACCCTTGTCAGTTTGGATGGGCTTTTCACCCATATTAGTTGGTAAAGGAATGAAACGTAGAGAACAGATGAGTTGTATGCCATTTCCATAAGGAGGAACTCCATTGTCAACTCTATTTAGATAAAATAAAACTTGTCGCTATCCACATACGGACTCATTGTAGATGATGACTTAATACGGGAAGTTATGAGAAGATGTGCTTCCTAGAATGATGTAGGGGCAGAAAGGAGATGCCTGGCTGCTTAGTTCCTACTAGAATTATTATTTTAAATGCTGCTGCAATTTTATTATATTGTTAATGATTTGTTAGGACACCCAGAGCCTTGGATAGTATATTTGAATTATTTTAAATCTAAATAAGAGAGGGACTGAATGATGAATTGAATATATTAATGTTTTTTTAAGGAGGCGCAGGCGATAAACATGAAGGTAGAATTTCCAAAACTTCCAAAGTGAATTAGGAACATAAATCCTACCAGAAGTCATTGGGACTTGTGCTCCTAAATCACTTAGGCACATTTGAAAAATGTCCCCTTCATTTTTTTTAATAGGTGTATCTTCTTTTTTTTTTAAGTTTTCACAGCATTATTGAATGTTAAATTGATACAGGAAATATTCATTTGATGTGTATCTATATAAATATGTAATATATAAAATCATATTTTAATAGTAATTATCTGTCTATATAAACATTATTTTGTTGTAGAGTAACGTTAATCTCAATTTTCAAAGTTATTCCTATACCTGTTAGCATGGAAGCACAGCAGGAGTGAGTTTGTTTCTTGCAAAGAATTTATATTTTATTTTTCATCACACGTCACTTCTGTTGAAAAAAGGACATTAGTTTAATAGGAAGATCTTGCCATCTACTATTGTTCTGGTAGTGCCACTAATGGGCTGGTTCTGTTTAATTTAATCTGGAATTAGTTACGATCTCAGGGCCATAAAAAAACCCCACTTTCCTTATTTTATTTTGTTTCAGTGTGCTTGGTGTCTTGTTTGCTACAGCTTTCAATCTCATTCCTGGTGTAACTGCTCAAGTCGGTGGATTTACACCAGGGTTAAATTTGCACCTTTGAAGCTGAGACTGCTTTCAGTACATCCCAGGCAACAATAGAAAAGCAGGCTGTGTTTTCATCTCTGACAGACATTTCCCTTCCCCCACATCGCTACATATTTTCCCTTCACTAAGAAGTAATCATTGTACAGCTTAGAGAACAAGAGTTCATTGCTGAGTACTACTCACTCTAACAGCTGTAGAAGGGCTTCTAGGGATCAGATCCAAAGAGTGTATGTGTATATTTAAAACAAAGGAAAGGAAGTATAAAATGTAGAATGCAGTATACTCTTTGGAAAATGAAACTTCTTTTGCTGCCTATACCTGCAAGTTTTTCCTTCTCAAGTTTTAAAGCTTAAATATATTTGTGTTTTTGTAGGAGGAAAAACAAGCTAAATGCAACGAGGAAATGCATCAACTTTCTGTAATCAAATGCTATCTCTGTTTCCATTGGTATAAATCCTAGTGTCCCAACATCCAGTCATTACCACTGTCATACACACCAAGGCGTTGCACAAAAAAAGCTAAAGAACATTCCCTAAAGAGAAGCCATGGTACTGACCTGCAACTGTGTTTCCAGAAGTGGCACACCTGGTTCACTAGTTAACCAGTCGTAGTTTCCCCTGTCAGCATGTCCAAATTTCCTCCAGCTGCTGCCTAAGAGCCACCTCATGCTTTCATTAACCTGATACTCCGTCTTAGTCCTTCCACCTTGCCTCACAGCTTTAAACAGTGCCCTCACCTCTTAGTCCAGACCCAGATGGGAGGCTCTCCGCTAATGATCCTTTATAAATTCTTCCCTGTTGACAGTGGTGAGGAGGCAAAAAGTGAAAAACCAACCAAATAGATCTCAGATGCTACTCTCAGTTCCAACTCAATCTCTCTGGATTTGCTTCAGTGGCCTACATTACCAGAAAAGCTGGCATCAGGTATCAGGGACGGGATAGCGTTCTGATTGGAGAGTTCCCTGCACTAGGATTATTAAAGGGGAATTTGCATGTGAATCTGTTACCACATGGTCCTGACTCTTTGTGGATAAATAACTTTCTAAATTTAGATATCTAATTAACATCATTTTGGGGTGTGTTAAAGAGTTCCCATGCCCAGAGAGAAAGTTCCGTGCACCTTGTAAGAAGGGGGGAGAGGGGGAATCAAGCCAAATTTTCTCTCTACCTTTGCTGGAACACACAGTAAACACTGAGCGGTTTCTGGGTAGAGAGGCAAGGACATAAGGCTGAATGCTCTGCTGAATTATTTAGGAGCATTAGAATGTAGATGTTAATGATAAATCCGGTGAGCGATCTTTGCCAGCAAAGGCTTTGGTCACTGAGAATATATGATTACTTTTAATAATAATAACAAATCTGATAACTGCTTAATTCTGCCCTTGTTTACTCCTTTTTAGACTGAAATCAGTTTAGTTTAAAAAAAAAAATCCTGACAATGTGTATTCACATCTCATTGAGGTGATATTGAGCTAGAGATGGGTGGAGGGAGGACTATTTTTTGGAAAAGTGGGCAGGTTATTTTTTCATTCTGAATAGAAGGAGGGACTGTTAATAATTGCTCCTGCAGTTGCATGTACTTTCAGTAACCTGAAAGGTTTGGTTGTGCAGGCAAGAAGGAACATGGCTTAGAGGTGGGAACACAGGTCTGGGTGGCAGGATTTCTGGCTTTTATTCCCTGCTCTGACACAGACTTACATTTTTCTTCTCTAACACTTTAAAAAGACTTAGAGCCTGAGTCTCCAGTAAAAGGCAATGGGAGCTGTGGGTACTGAGCCCAGCTGAAAATCAGGCTCATACAATAAGGTATACATACACACAGTTTAAGGGACTTGTGTGTGTGTGTGTGTATGTGTATCTATCTATCTATCTATCTATCTATCATTCACAAAAAGAAATCATAAAAGAACATTATTAAGGTTGCAAAGTCAAACACTGAAAATTTAGGAAATGCCAGAATTATGGTTGCTTGTGCAACCTTAAATTAGTCCCCTCATGCCTATGTGTTACAATAATCTTTCATTTCAGGACCCCTGTCTCATTCATTGCACAGAATGACCCTGCTCTGGTGACGAATCAGGGTTCTGTAGTGAGGGAAACTGTTTGCAGGGCCCGTTGTCATTTTATTGCAGAAGTTGGAAGGCATGTAGTGGACGAGGCAGGGGGTTGGAGGAAGAGGAATGCCACCTTAAATGCCACCGTGGGGAATTGGATTCTATCCCAGAATCTGCCACAGAGTTCATATGCTGGGCAAGTCACTGCAACCAAATTCTTCACAAGTGGTCGCTGATTGTCCTTTATTTTGCAGATGTCTTTCTTACTTGAGACCTTGGGTCTAATTTGCAGAAATGCTCAGCACTCCTCGCTGCAACCGAAGTCAATGGGAGCTGTGCTTTGAACAGATGAAATGCTATATAATACTAATTATTCTGAAAAATCAGGTCCTAGGTGTCTCAAATTTGGCATCCAAAAGTATGGATTTTTTGTATTTTCATCTTTGTGCCTCAGTTCCCCATCTGTAAAATGGGGATAAAACCCACGGGGGCATTGAGTTTGTGAAGCACGCAGACACTGTAGTGATGAACACCGCAGAAAAGTCTGAGGAATTAATAATTCAGTCTTCAGAGCAGGGTTTGAATAGTATGCAGTAAATAAGCACTGGGCCCACGCGTTGAACAATGAGGAGAAAACAAAATATTGAATAGACTGTGTTCACATAACAAGCAGCTGTTATTGTGTGCACTGAACGAGGCAGGGCTTGTATGGAAAAAATAGTATGTGATCATATAATTAAAGATGGTGTCCAAATTCATGCACCCACGGGGTTGAATTGGGTTGCTCAAGCAACTTTAATTTTGGCATTTGCTAACTTTTGAGTGCTTCACTTGCAACCAGAATTCCATCATATGAACCTATCAAAACACACAAAGGTCATCAGCAGGGTTGGAACCCTTAGATCCACCACAGATTTCAGTCACCAGAACTAATGGAATAATTGAATGCAGCAGTAGTAGTTTCTCCTTGGTGTGGAACTGCATTAGGTAGGAATGAGACATCTATTTTGCCAGTGGGTCTTACAGATATTTGCTGAACTGACACCCAGTCCCAGTCTCCACTCCTTAGGCTTCTCGTCCCAGTCTCCTTGCCCAGAAGTCCTATTCTTACCTCTCCCAACTCCCCATCCCAATACCCGTCTTCCCTCCATGCATCCAGTTCCACGCTCCTTTCCGAGCCAATCCCAGTTTCCCCCTTTCCCCCAGTTTCCCTTCATCCAGTCTGTCTCTTGTTTCCCCTCCCACCTGTCCATATTGCCAATTACCATTGGCTGCCAGTCCAAGGCTCCTCATCCAGTATCCGTATCCTCCCCTGCCCCCCCACAGTCCCTTCCTGATTCCTTGTCCCAGTCTCTCCCGTTCCTGGCTCCTTATCCCAGTCTCTTTGCTGAGGCAGCACCAGTTCTTTCTCTTCACCCTGGATCCTCCATCAGTTCTATCCCCGTCTCCACTCCTTAGGCTTCTCGTCCCAGTCTTCTTCCACTTCATTTCCTCAGTCCAATTTGTCCCCAATCCCAGTCCCCTTTTCCCACGGTGTCCCCTCCCACAACTCCTAATCTATTTTCCCTCTCCTCCCCTGCAGCCTCCAGTCCCAATCTACTCCTTCCTTAGGTCTGGCTCTTGTCCCATCTGCATTTGAATCAGGCAACTTCCTCCTCTATCTACATGGGGAACAGAAATTTGATATTAGAGAGCTCTTCAATCTAGCAGACAAAAGTATGGTAAGATACAATGTCTGGAAATTGAAGGTAGACCAATTCAGACTAGGAATAAGGAGCAATTTTTTAACAATGAGAGTAATTAGCCATTGGAACAATTTACCAAAGGTTGTGGTGGATCCTCTACTGGAAACTTGCAATTCAAGACTGGATGTTTTTTAAAAGATAGGATCTAGACAAGAATTAACTGAGGGAAGTTCTGTGGCCTGTATTGTACAGGTCAGACTATATTATCAAGTGAGCACTTCTGGTTTTATAATCTATTAATCACACTGCCTGGGCCCAGTGTGGGGATCACTGAGAGCACAGGAGAGAGTCTCTAACCCGACATATAGCAGCTAAAGCTGCAATTGTAGGGAAAATCCTGCTCAGTCCTGCACTAAAGTATGCCCAGTGGGGACGGAATCTTTGGAGATTTTAGCCTGAAACCTTAAGTGGGTGCCCTCAAAGACTGGGGGGAGGGGGGGAAGGGTGTCCAATGTGCAGCTAACCTGGAAACTATGACACCTGTCCCTTGTCTCCGCTCCTACTCTTCCATCTAATGTCACACTTACTTTGTTATAATGGCTGCTGTGTTGGAAGAGTACATAAGACACAACCTGATTGAGCCTACCACAATATAAATGTTAAATAACAAATGAAAGATGTATTACCACTTTTAATTGTAGTGTCTCTTCCTGAAAAGCTACATGTACTCTTGTGACAGGAAGACCCTTTATCTCTCACGCTCTGTGGAAAATGTTCTCTTTCTCTTTTGTCCTTTAAAAAAACAAAAACCAAAAACAGTCCACTTGTTTCTGTAGGTTCTCAACCATCTCAAGATTTGGACTTGTTTGAAGTTGAGAAGTCTGAACACTGAACAGCAACCTTTTTGTGTAATTTAAATAAACAAGCAAAAAGGCTGATAAGTGCTTTTGGGAGCAAAACCAATTTGTACCTAAAGAGCCTGATTCTTCTCTGCTGTATGTTGGAATAGCTACGTTGAAGTCAAGGGAGCTACACTGACTTGTGCTAGCCGAGAATCTGGCCAATAATGTTGCCTGACAAGTTAAGCACTCTTGTAATCTTTAGCAACTGAGATAGGGAAACAAATTCCAAAACATTTTCAACCTGTTAGAATATTGTCAGATAACTTGGAATAGAAGCAACAGAGGCAGTGGGAGCAGAGGGAGGTATGTCTGTGGTATTGATCTGGAGTTGCTGCAGATGAGCAGTCAGAAGCAAAGAATTTAGATAGAAAAAGGCTATTTAGAGCATCCAGTCTATTCCTCTTGCCAAAGCAGCATGGTACCTACAGGATATTCCTCAGTGTTTTGTCTACCTAGCCTTGTTTTGAAGAACTCCACAATGAGATTCCACCATTTCCCTTGAGAGACTTTTTTTCTAGAGAATCTGTGTTATGGAAATTTTCCTAAACTTAGCCTAAATTGTCCCTTGTTGAGTTCAGCCTGATTATTCCTCTTCATCCTAAAACACTTTGTTTTCCCTTAATATTTGTCCTTCCAATATTTGCAATATATAGTGTTATCTTGTCCCCCTTTTAGCTAAGCTTCAGCAAATGGTCTTCTGTCTTTTCTCTAAAGTCAAGCTCTCTGAACTCTTAATCATCATTGTTGACCTTCGTTGGCACTGCTGTAACTTATAAATCTTTCTTGAAGCTGCGGAGCCCTCCAAGGCATACAGTATTTCTACACTGTAAAAGCAGGGGAGAGGTGTTGAACAGACTTGAAAACCTAAGTTCATGAATGTTGGAGTTGAAGGCAAATCCTTGAATCTTGTGATGGGCTCTTGTTATGAGTGGTGTTTGCCTCTTGTGAATGTGCTTTCTGAGAGAATTTTCCAGACTTTTCTCCAGTCAGTGACACTCCAGCAGCAGCAGAAGGAACATATTTGGGAGAGAGGGAGTGGGTAGTGGGTTACATTAGGTTAGGCAGGCTGGGTATCAAATAATAAAACAGAAACTAACAGCAACAGAA